AAAGATGCCAAGAAAAAAGGGGGCGGGTGCGGTTGGAGTTTCGGGTGTCGCGTCGTGTTGTGGTGGTAAGGTCTGGAGTACATGTGTGTGTGTGTGTGTTGGAGACGGAGGGAGCCTGTTGAGTATCGGGTGTTGTGTTGGAGAAGGAGGCTGTTGAGTACTGGGTGTTGTGTTGGAGACGGAGGGAGTTGAGTAGAAGGTTCTCTTCAAGTTCAGCTTGGGGAGGGAGCCTGTTGAGTATCGGGTGTTGTGTTGAAGAAGGAGGCTGTTGAGTAGTGGGTGTTGTGTTGGAGACGGAGGGAGTTGAGTAGAAGGTTCTCTTCAAGTTCAGCTTGGGGAGGGAGCCTGTTGAGTATCGGGTATTGTGTTGGAGAAGGAGGCTGTTGAGTACTGGGTGTTGTGTTGGAGACGGAGGGAGTTGAGTAGAAGGGAGCTCAACAAGTCTTTCAAAAAAGAGCCTCAAAAGTGAGTCCGAAAATCGTAGGAATCATATATAAATTCATATATAATCATGAGAAAGGGGGGTTCTTGGTGCAGCTTGGGGAGGGAGCCTGTTGAGTATCGGGTGTTGTGTTGGAGAAGGAGGCTGTTGAGTACTGGGTGTTGTGTTGGAGACGGAGGGAGTTGAGTAGAAGGATCTTTTCAAGTTCAGCTTGGGGACGGAGCCTGTTGAGTATCGGGAGTTGTGTTGGAGAAGGAGGCTGTTGAGTACTGGGTGTTGTGTTGGAGACGGAGGGAGTTGAGTCGAAGGTTCTCTTCAAGTTCAGCTTGGGGAGGGAGCCTGTTGAGTATCGGGTGTTGTGTTGGAGAAGGAGGCTGTTGAGTACTGGGTGTTGTGTTGGAGACGGAGGGAGTTGAGTAGAAGGTTCTTTTCAAATTCAGCTTGGGGAGGGAGCCTGTTGAGTATCGGGTGTTGTGTTGGAGAAGGAGGCTGTTGAGTAATGGGTGTTGTGTTGGAGACGGAGGGAGTTGAGTAGAAGGAAGCCCAACAAGTCTTCCAAAACAACTTCACAAGTGAGTCCGAAAATCGTAGGAATCATATATAAAATCATATATAAGCACGAGAAAAGGGGGTTCTTGGTGGGTGCACAGGGCTATACATACACACACACACACACACATATATATATATATATATATATATATATAAATATATATATAAACTGCATTGGCGCTTCGCGCCATGCGTTTTGTTCCCGACGTTTCCCCGGCAAAACAATACATCATCGCTTGCTTCACCAGACGGGATTTCGAGGCCTGGGCGGGCGACCCGCCCTTTTTTCCTGATATCCCTGGTGCCTAATCCTAATGACGCCGCGTTCGCCGGATCCGCTTGCACGCTTGTGCGCAGGAATGGGGAAGGAATGCTGATTTTTCACGCGCGAAGGTGCTGGCAAACGACGAAGCATCAAACTGTTGCGACGGCGCTTATCCATGAACGAGGAACGGGAAAGGAACAGGGAGGGGGGGGGGCTGAAGAGGCGGAAGGGGGGAGGGGGGGGAGAAACGGGGAGAAGGTCCAGAGGAAGGGGCGGGGGCGAATGAGGATGGCCATCGGATGCCACGAACGCGGAGGTCGACGAAGAAGGCAGAGGGGGGAAGGGAGAGAGGGAGAGAGAGAGAGAGAGAGATAGAGAGAGAAGGTGATAGAGGTACGGGGAAGACAGGCTGGCAGGCGTGGGCGCAACGAGCGCACGGCAGCGAACAAATCCTCTGCGAAGCTAGCCCAGGAGCGTCGCCACGTGGGCTCCAGGGGGCACGGCGGGCAGAAGGATAATCAAGCGGCTAGGGCCCTTTTGGGGGCCTCCAGTGGCCTCCTTGGGGGTCTCCCATGGCTTTCATAGGTCTCTCTTGGGAGCCTTCTGGGGGCATCTTGGACTTCTTGTGGCCAGTGTCGGGGGCTATCTGGGGCAATCTTGGGGCCCTCTTGGACCGTCTTCACATCCTCTGGGTGGCCTCTTGGGCCGTCTTGGGGCGATATCGGGGGCCCATCGGGCCGTCTTGGACGCTGCGAAGACCTAAACAGCGGATATGCTAACAATATGAGATTTCCTGTAAAAGAATGGGGCGATTTTTGCTTCGTCGGGAGTCTTTTAACAGTACCAGCCTCTTGCGGCGTCTTGTGAGCCTTTTGGGCCGTCATCAAACCATCGAGGTTCCTCTTGGATCTCTCTTGTCCTGTCTTGGGTCTGTCGTGCGCCTTTCCGATGATCCCTCTGATCGCCTTGAGTCTGCTCGCAAGGCCGGGCAAAGCGCCCTGGGAGGCTGGGAAGGGCCAGCGGACCATTTCCAAGGGCGTCCTAAAGACCGCCTAGACGTCCGAGAGGGCGTCTGGGGCGTCCCTGAAGCGGGGTCCGGTTTAGGGGTGGGGGGGTGGGTGGGAGGGTTGGGGGTGAGGTTTCCGTGTGATAGATATATGGGAATCGGAATCGGAATCGGAATAGGAATAGGATTCGATATATATATATATATATATATATATATATATATATATATACATACACACCTATTTATCTATGTATAGATGTATAAAAGCCACTATGGAGGAATCCGCCGACTCTGTCGGCGTGTGTGAGGGGCTTTTCCGTTCGAGCCGTCATCTCCGTTATTCTTTGTACTCGTCGTCTCTGTCCTTCCCTTTCCCTGGGACTCCTCTTCCCCTGGGCTCCAGCCAAGCCGACCTTGAGCAACCTCGTAATTGAGTCGAAGGGAAGCCCCTTCCCTTTGATCCCTCCCCCGCCGGGAGGGGGGGGGGGTAGCGAGCGACCCCCCCCCGGGTCAGATACGACGCCCCCCCCCCGTACCGACCTTGAGCAACGTCGTAATTGAGTCGAAGGGAAGCCCCTTCCCTTTGATCCCTCCCCCGCGGGAGGGGGGGGGGGTAGCGGGGGGGGGTAGCGACCCCCCCCCGGGTCAGATACGACGCCCCCCCCCGTACCGACCTTGAGCAACGTCGTAATTGAGTCGAAGGGAAGCCCCTTCCCTTTGATCCCTCCCCCGCCGGGAGGGGGGGGGGGTAGCGGGGGGGAGCGACCCCCCCCCCGGGTCAGATACGACGCCCCCCCCCCGTACCGACCTTGAGCAACCTCGTAATTGAGTCGAAGGGAAGCCCCTTCCCTTTCATCCTCCCCCGCCGGGAGGGGGGGGGGGTAGCGGGGGGGGTAGCGACCCCCCCCCGAGTCAGATACGACGCCCCCCCCCCGTACCGACCTTGAGCAACGTCGTAATTGAGTCGAAGGGAAGCCCCTTCCCTTTCCCTTCCCCGACGGGGGGGGGAGGGGGGGTCCCGGGGGGGGTCCCGGGGAGTCCCGGGGAAGTCCCGGGTCAGATACGACACCTCCCTCCCCCACCTTCTCGTCCTTCTCCCCGTTCCCCAAAACCATCCCACAGCCCGTGCCTCTTGCTGCGCATTGCGAACAGGGTCGGCGGCACCGGCCGTAAGGCCTTCGCAATAGGATTCGATATATATATATATATATATATATATATATATATATATATACACATACACACCTATTTATCTATGTATAGATGTATAAAAGCCACTATGGAGCCAATTGCACCGAAAGCTGCACACATCCACGGCCAACCTTGATTCACCCGACGGGTGGTCCTATCGGTATGTTTTGAATCTGCTTCCTGTAGGGCGCTGCTGGATGGTTATCTTGCGTTGTGTCTTTTGTCCTTTGTTTTGATTCCTCGTCTTTCCAGTCCTGTCTCCATTCTGCTGTCTGCTAGTGGGCCAGCGACGTGAAACAAGACACCTGGGGGGGCGCGCCTTAGCCTCCCCGCTTCGCAACTTGTCCTGAACTCTCATAAAACAAAAAACAGCACTAAACGGCCAAGAGAGCCCAAGCGGTTTCCGACACGGCCCCACGGGGTACCAAAGCACAACGCAATCTAAGGCAGCCTCAAGAAACCTCTGAGATGACCCCAGGGCTCCTCCGAAAGGGTACAGGTATTGACACAGCACAGTGCGTCAATTTTTGTTTCGCCTGCTAGTGTTTTGCTTCTAGGCTGTCCTAACATTGCTCCAAGATGCCCCTCCTCGAGTCTCCAATGTTGCCCCCAAAACAAATCCAAAGTGGCCTGGAGAGGTCCCAGGATGCCGCTCAGACCGCCCAGGATTGGCCCAACAAGGCCCCATGATGGCCTCACGATGCCCCGTAACATGTCCCCATCAGCCCCAACATAGCTGCAGCATGGCTCGATCTGCCCCAAAGGTGGCCCGAAAAACATTAAGAGTTCCCCAATATTGCCCCCAAGAAAACCAGTGTGGCCCCAACATAATCGCAATATGGGTCAGCTGGGGGGGCCGACGGCAATCGCAGCCCTGCGTACATTTTCATTCACACAAGTGCGCTGTACAGCTATGCAATTGACTTCCTATGCGCATCGTAAGCGCGATTGTAACTACTGTGCAAAATAACGATTTTGGAATGCAACTCGTGTTGACCGTAAAGGAGCTCATGCCTGAGTCTGGGTTGCAAGCAACATGCAATCTCAATCTTGTTCCTTTGAAAACGGCGGCGGAACGGTCTCTTTAAAAGTCCATCTTTTGTGGCCTTCCTGAGCAAACCACGTTTTTTTCCTATATATATATATATAGGTAGATATAAGTATTGAAAACATTAAAAGCTGGCGAATCTATTCATGGTGAATTACCGTGCTCGCTTGCTTGCGGACGAAATTTACCGTGGTAAACCTTCCGTTGCGGCATCCAATTTCCCCTTCGCATTGTGAAGTGCTAGTTTGGACAACATGATCCGTGTGCGTTCTCGATACGGCCCATAAAGCACGTTCAATAACCCCCCAAATAGAATGTGCACTTCTGCTTCTTTGCAACATGGCCGTCAACAATACCGGAACAAACCCAAGACCAACTCGTTACGGAACCAAATGCGAATGGAGCTGTCGGAAAACATAACGCGGCTGCCAACCTGATATGAAAGCGACGCCCCGCCCAAGAGCATGCGTGGAACAAAAGGACGGGTTGCGTCCTCCTGGAGGTCCAGCCACCCTGCGCCGCCGTTGGCCGCCTCTTGCGCGGGGCTTTCTTCCCTTCGGCGCAAAAGCGGTCACCCTTCAAAATTGCAGAACAACTTGTCGAATCTCTATCGCCAGCCCTTCTCAACCCTCGTGTATGGCGACGGCCCGAATGTGACATCAGTCTCAGAAACCAGGCGCTCAGTCTTCGGTTTGGGTTTGGAAAGCAAAGCTGCATGGGGCCGCAAACCATACAAATGGGCTCCACAGGTCTTCAATAACACCTTCCGAGAATCCGACTAATGCCGAGAACAACGAGTCTTCGAGCTACAAAGAAACACTCCGTCAACGAAGAGCCTATGGCGAAATGCCCCAACGTCTGCATCGGCCTGGACGGCTCCTCCTTCCTCACCACCTGTACTATACGGTCGGGAACTTTTGCTTAGCAAATCGCGGCGGCGGCCCCTGCGACACGCTATGCCTTGCGATCTGACAGCGTGTCGCCATGCTTCGCGGGACGGGAGACTGGGAAAAGGCTCGGGATGTTGTCGGTTGGGGGCTGGGACGCGATTGGCGTGTCAAGCGTGGTGGGCCAGAATTGTCGGCGCGACACGCTAAGCACACTTTCCCAACTAGATGCGTCCAGCATGTTCGGGAATATTTGAGTCTGTCCCTTTTTGTCTTTCAGTTCTTTCTTTCGCCCCATCACCGTAAGCCTGCTCTGCGCCGTGGTCGCCGAGCATGACGCATCGGGCCTGCCCGGGGGAGAGCACGCACCAGCGGTGTTGGCAGACAGGCAGCGAAGAAGGGGCTGGCGATTTTTGGCGAAATTTGAATACCGCCAGCCCCCTGGGCGCGAAAAGATTGGAGCGTTTCCTCTTGTGATGCCTTTCTTTCTCTTCGTGGATGCCTTCTTAATGCACACCCCCTCCCCCGCCCGAGCGACGACAAACCCGGGACAATGCAAACACACCCTCGCCATCCTCACCGAAAACAATGCGAAATGCACATTGCAGCAGAAACTGGACCGCGCACGGGCGCCCCGTGAGCACTTTGCATTGGTTTTGACAAGGACGGCGGGGGTGCCCCCTCATAGTGTCCGCTCTGGGCAAGCCTACCATCCCTGTTAAGACACAACAAAAGCATACACTTTGCGTCACAATATGAACAATGCGCGGGCACTTCACGATCGTATGCATTGGTTTTTGAAATTGACGGCGGCGGTACCCTCAAAATATCAACATTGCGTAGACCCACCATCCCAATCAACAAACAATGCAAAGTACACCGTGGCAAAAACTGGTTCAAGCAGGGGCGCCCCGTGATCATTTTGCATGGGTTTGTGACAGAGGGGTTGGCTGCTTTGCGCAGGCTCAACATACCTTACAACAACCATGCAACATGCCCTTGCGGCACAATCTGGATCATGCGCGGGCGCCCCGCGATACACTTTGCAGTGGTTCTTGGCAGGGACGGCGGGAGTGCCCTCATAGTGTTTGCCTGTGCTTCCGACGGGCTCAGGAACTCAGTGAAACTGGGCCCCCAGGCTCGGATGCTTATGTCTTGGGAGGGCGGGTGGGAATGAACGTCTCAGCTTGCAGCTTAGGGTCGCCGCACCGCTGCTCCTTATAACACCCCCTCTCCCAAGCGACCAACGACCAACCCATGATATGCAATTGTAAGTAACGCAATTCTGAATCTCGTTTTCGGTGGAGCTCCCGATAGGGCCACGAAACGTGTGAGGGATGTGCCGGAATGGGTGGCGGGGACGCATGTGGGCACCGCCATTGGGGCCATCGGCGGAGCTCCCTAATGGGCCACTAAGCGTGTGAGGGGTGTGCCAACATGGATGGTGGGGGCGCATGCGGGCTGCGCCACTGGGATCGTCTGTGGAACTCCTGGTGGGGCCACGAAACGTGTGAAGTGTGCGCCGAAATTGGTGGCGGGGGCACATGTGGGCACCGTCATTGGGGCTTTTCGGTTGAGCTTCCTTCCTATGGGCCACGCAACCTGTGCGGGGTGTGCCGAAATCAATGGCGGGGACGCATGTGGGCACCGCCGCTGGGGCCTTCGCTGGGGCTCCTTATGGGGCCACGCAACGTGTGAGGGGCGTGCCACAATGGGTGGCGGGGAAGCATGTGGGCACCGCCACTGGGGCCTTCGGCGGGGCGCCCTATGGGGACACGAAGAGTGTGAGACTGTGTCGGCATGGGTGGCGCGGGCGCATGCAGGCTGCGCCGCTGGGGCACTCGGTAGAGCCTATACGAAAGCTGCAAAACGTGCGAAGGGTATGCCGACATTGGTGGCAGCGACGCATTCGGGCTGCGCCACTGGGACCTTCGGAAGGGCTCCAATGGGGCCACGAAGCGTGTGCGAAACGTGTGAGGGGTGTGTGTCAAAATGGGTGGCGGAGACGCATGCTGGCCGCGCAATTGGCAAATCAATGGCGGAAAATCAATGGCGTGGACGCATGAGGGCTGCGCCAATGGGACCTTCGGTGAAATTCCAATGGGGCCACGCAGCGTGTGAGGGGTGTGCAAACATGTATGTCGCGGACGCATGCGGGCTGCGCTACTGGGACCTTCGGTGGGGCTCCCTATGAGGCCAAGAAGCGTGTGACAGGTGTGCCAAAAGGTGGCGGGGACGCGTGCGGGCTGCGCCACTGGGACCTTCGGTAGACCTCCTATGGGGCCACGAAACGTGTTAGGGATTTATCAAATTGGGTGGCGGGGACGCATGCGGGCTGCGCAGCTGGGACCTTCGGCGGAACTCCCTGCGGGGACACGATGCGTGTGAAAGGTATACGGAAAACAATGGTGGCGTCGCATACGGGCTGCACAACTGGTACTTTCGGCGGAGCTCCCTACGAGGTCACGAACCGTGCGAGGTGTGTGGCGAAATTGGTAGACGCATGCGAAACCATAATCCCTCGTAGTTTATACCGTATTCGCGTCCCCGAAGCCATCAACCGCTATAAATTATGCGATATTCGCGCCCCCGAAACCAGACATCCATGGAAATTGCAGAATGTTCGCGCCCCCGAAGCCATTAATCTTTATGTGAAAATCATACAATGTTCGCGTCCCCAGGGCCTAAACCGTAGTAAATTACACCGTGCTTGCGTCCCCGAGGCCACGAACCCTGGCACATTACAAAATATTCGCGTCCCGGAAGCCATAAACCATCGTAACTGATGCAATATTTGCGCCCCCGAAGCCACACACACATTCGTAAATTCCGCACTATTCGCGTCCCCGAAGCCATAAGCCATTATAAATTATTTAGTACTCGCGCCACCGAAGCAATACACTTTGGTAAATTAGTATTGGCCCTCGCGTGAAGTCCCGACATTGCTTCACGTCAGCGTCCAGACATCCCAACACAGCTCTGGCAAGTCCCATTCTAGGAGATGGGGGCCGGCGGCAGTGGGGCGACGCCTGTGCGGATGAAGTAAAAAACCGAAATATGCACTTTGCACCAAAATCTGGATCATGCGCGGACGTCCTTCGATCATTTTGATTTGGCTTTTGACACGGATGGCGGTGGTGCCAGCATACTGCCTGCTGTTTGCAGGCCCGCCACCTCTTCCTCAAACAAAAGAACTCTTTTTTGGCGGGGAAGGCGGGGGGGTGGGGAGGCGGCAGGCTGCCTGCTGTGCGCAGGCCGTCCCTGTTAAAAGCAAATGCAAGGCGAGCGTGGGCACACACCCACGCACAACAAACCCGCCGTCACTTTGCATGGTTTTTTACAGAGATGGTGGGAGAGTCGATCTATTGCCCAATGTGGCGCACCCGGTGCGCGTGGCGCAGCTGGCATGTGCGGAGCACATCGCGGGCTTCGCGCACCTGGCTGGCGTCTGCATTGGTTCCCGACGGTTGTCGATGGCGGCCCCCGTCCATGCTGAGACCTGGGTGCTACTGATGCGTTGGGAGAGTGGGTGGGAGTGGGCGAGACGGATTGAAACCCCCCCCAAGCGACCTGCAGCCAACCCGAACCCATGCGGGAACCCATGCCCCCCCCCCCCACCATCCCTGTCAGACAACAATGCAAGGTTCACCCTGCGGCAAAACGTGGATCATGTTCGGGTGGATCGCGAGCACTTGGTATTGTACCCAACCATCCTGCAGTGTTGGGTCCTGGTTTGAAGAGACAGAGCCGGGCGACCGTCCCTCCCTCCCTCTCGCCTCATTCTCCCCCTCCTCCTTCCCCCCATCCCTGCATCTGCCCTCCGCATCAGTCAACCATTTCGGCACCATATTGAGCTCCACCGAAGGCCTCAATGGCAAGCTCTACGTGCGTCCGCGCGCCCCATCTCGGCACACCACTCACCAGTTTCGTAGCCCCATAAGGACCTCCACCGTATGCACAAATGGCAGGTTTTACATGCGTCCGCGCGGCCCATTTCGGCACACCCATCGCACGTTTCGTGGCCCCATAGGGAGCTCCAGCGAAGGCCCCACTGGCAAGGTTTACATGCGTCCGCGTCCGCGCGACCCATGTCGGCGCACCCCTCACGCGTTTCGTGGCCCCATAGGGAGCTCCACCGAAGATGATACTGACACCTGCGGCACACACAGCTGCATATGGTTGGGTCCTTTGCCAAGCTATTTTTTTGTGACAGTGATGGCAAAGCGGCCCTCAAAAGGCTTGCTGCGCACGAGCAAACCGCCCCCGTCAACAACACAATACGACATACACTCCGAGGCAAAATCTGGATCATTCGCGGGCACCCCATGATCACCTTGCATTGTTTTTTGGAGGGGCGGCGGGGGTGCTGGCATATTGCCTGCGGTGTGCAAGCCCGCCAGACACCATGATGGCCACCCCGCCGCGATTGCGCACTGGTTTTCGGCAAGGATGGTGGGGGCCGAGATGCTTCCCGATGTGTGCTGTCACGTGTGCGGGCGCACCTGGCGCACACTGCGCGTGCCCCGAACGTGGAGCACCTGGCGCGGCTGGAGCATGCGGCTTACATGGCGCACGTGGCGCAGCTGGCGCACCAGGAGTGCCTGGCACGCTTGGGCACCAGGGGTGCCTGGTGGGCGTGGCGCGCCTGGCACGGGTGGTGCACCTCGCCCAAGCGTCGCGCACATTGGGGTCCGTTTTAGCCCCCAGTAGCTGTCAATCCAAAGGCGACCGCTGAACATGCTGCGGCTCTGGAGCTATTCATGTGTTGGAAGGGTCGGCGGGAGTGAGCGAGATGGTTTGCGGGCGGGGAGGGTGGTCTGATCCCTCCCTCTACCCCCTCCCCCTTGAGTCTGGAGGGGGGGAGGTGGAGGGGGGGGGGCGAGCGGTCAGAGCGTCAACAATAGCCAAGGATGGCTCCACGAGGGCCTCAGAAAGCCCACGATGACCTCTCTCAGAAACCCTCCGAAGCCGCAATCTGACTCCAAGGATGCCCAAGAGAGACCCGCGCATGGCCCAAAGGAGCCCCAATACTGCTCCACTAGAGCCCAAGATCGCCCCAAAAAGCGACTTCTAGGGCCCCAATGGGGGCAACACTAATATAGGCTCCCCTGTCCTCGGTCAACAACGACAGCATTGAAATACACTTGAATTTTGACAGGTTTTGGCACTGCGAGGGCATCTTCGCGAGGCTTCTGTGCCAATCTGCCTCAGGGATGGCCCCAGATGCTCGAAGATGGCCTCCGAGATGGCAAAATATTGTCCAAACTGGCCCACGATGTCCTCCAAGACGCTCCAAGAGGCTCAAATACCACCCCAAGACGTCTTCAAATGGCCC